CCGTGCCGCGGGGTGCAGTCAGCGGGGGCGGGGAGGGTGTTTGAGCACCTGTTGGGCGCGCTGCTGGACATGACGGGGTCCAAGTTCGGGCTCATCGGCTCCGTGCTCTTCCAGGCCAACGGCTCGCCCTACCTCAAGGTGCCCCGCCCACGCTCACCCTACCTCAAGGTGCCCCGCCCACGCCCCTTCCCACCCCATTCCCCTCCCTTCCCTGCCACGCTAAACTATCCTCGCGCCACCACTCTAATGTGACAATGTACAATCATCGCCTTAATGTGATGAAATCCATGTGTCAAGGTAACACCTGTCAAGTTAACACCTGTCCCCTCATGGTAACAGCCTCCCCTTCAAGCACAACATATCCGTCTCCTGTTTCCTCGCGGCACGTGGTGTGTGGTGTGTCTTGCTTGTTGTGACATCGCGTTGGCCCATCATCATATGCTATGGCATTCGTTGGCCTGCCCACTGCTTGTGTGGATCCACGTGTCTGTCGGTGGCATGGCATGGCAGTCACACGCGGCGTCAAACATAGCATGGACGGAGGAGCTTCAGGTGTGGTACCGGGACAACTCGCACAGGGGCCTGGTGTTCACCAACACGTCCAACCTGCTGGGCGCCGTGCTGCTCTCCTCCGCGCCCGTCATCTCCAACCGCCCCGCCCTCGACCCCCGCTCCGGCGGCGTGCCTCCGGGCCACCCGCCCCTCTCCGCGTTCATGGGCGTGCCCCTCATCGTCGGTCAGTGCCCCTCCCTCCCCAGCACGCTTTGAAGAATTGACACTATGTGCCGAGTACCACGAGTAGGAATCCCTGTGTGCAGGTCAATGACTGAATTTTGCCATCCCATTAATGCCCCAATTCCCTGCACACACCACACCCTGCAGGGTCGGAGATGATAGGCATGTACGCGCTGGCGAACAGGGCGGGTGGGTACAGCAGGGCGCTGCTGCAGGAGCTGGAGCCGCTCACAGCCAGTGCGGCCGTCATGCTGCAGGCGGTGCACGAGAGGAAGCGCAAGCGTGACGCTGAGCTGCGCCTGCTCTCCGTCCTCCAGGTCACTCTCTCCCCCCCCATCCCCCCCCCTCTTCCCCGCTCGCTTTCATCTTCCCTTCCCCCGGTGCTCGTGGCGTTCTCTCCATCCCTGCACTGGGGGTACATGCCGTGCCACTTCCTCCCATGCGTTGTCATCTCGCTCCGCACGCTCCTCTCCATGCCACACCCCTTCCTCTTCCCTCCGCCTCCATTACCTTTCACCTGCTCAAAACCCCCATCCGCTTCCCCCTCAACCCCTATTCTTCCCGATCCCTGCCTTTTCCCTTCCCACCGCACGTGCCAGGTGGCGCGGGACGGGCTGATGACGGTGGGGGGGGACGGGCGGGTGACGTGGATGAACGGGGCGGTGTGCGGGCTGTTTGGGATGGAGGAGCACCACGGCCACGCGGACGCCATGGGCGCACTACACGTCAAGGCCTTCATCCACTCCATTGAAGGCTCGCCCCACTACCTCTCCCTCGGTGCGCTCCCTCTCCCTCCTTCCCACTTCTCCCATTCTGCTTGCCATGCACTGTCGCTGCTTGCCATGCACTGTCGTGTCGGTGCTGTCATCTGGGCATGTCCGCTGTCTCAAGTCTCTTACTGGGCTGATGCACGGCGGTGTGGCGGGGGCAGGGCTGGAGTCGTTTGTGGGCCACATGCGCCGCGCCACGGGCATCAGGTCCGACGGGTCCCGAGTCAAGCTCCGGCTCTCTGTCTCCGTGCAGTCTCACCAGCAGCAGCAGCAGCACCAGCAACAGCAGCAACAGCAGCCACTAGCACACGCAGGCCAGTCGGATCAGCAGCAGCAGCAGCAACAGGAGTTTGTGATTGTGGTTCGGGAGCAGGCCGAGTCCCGCACTGCACCGTCGTGGGACCTGCCTCCGCCCAGCCGAGGGTCACTGAGAAGCCAGTCGTCACTGCCGTCCGGGTCCATGTTCCAGTCCCTGCCCCCCCTGCACTCCTCCTCTGCCACCCCGCCGCTGCTCTCGCCCAAAGCACTAGCAGCACCATCGGTAGCATCGTCAGCAGCAGCAGCGTCATCAGGGCTGACGTTTCCTCCACCACTATCGCCATCATCCGCTCCACTCGTCGCACCAGCGTTTGGGCGATCGTTAGCGCCATCATCAGCATCAGCAGCACGAGCAGCAGCACCACCAACCCCACCACCACCGCCAGCAACAGCAGCAGCAGTATCAGCAGCAGCACCAGCAGCAGCATCAGCAGCGGCAACAGCATCAGTTCCGATGGCACGATCATCAGTGCCTAAATCACCGCCAACCTCTGGGTTCTTATCACCCATAGGAACGCCCCCACAGTTCAGGCCCACAATCAGCAGTGCATCTCAGGGTCTCAACAGGGATGGAGGCGGAGCAGGCAGGCTGGGAGGTGGGATTGGTGAAGTGGCAGAGGTGTGGGAGAACAGACGGCAGCGGGGAGAGGCTGAGCTGGGTAGCAGTCCCTTGGAAGGCTTTCGTGGTCAGCAGCAGCCGTACCAGCAGTACCAGCCGCACCAGCAGTATAACAATAATCATCCTCAGCAGCAGCATCATCATCATCAGCAGCATCCGCAGCAGCAGGAGTTGGCGGGGCAGTGGGCGGAGGGGCAGGTTCTGTTCCGCAAGTTTGGGGAGGAGGGCAGCAGCACGCGCGGCAGCAGCAGGCGGCGCAGCACGGGGCTCATGCGCTTCCGATCGCTCGATAGCGCCAAGCAGCAGTCCTCCAACTTCCACAACTACGTCGCCTCCCTCAAGAGCTAAGCTCACGCACCCACCTGTCCCCTCTTGCGGAACTGGTGTCAGGCGAATGGCTTGATGATGTGTTGCAGGTGCTGTGTTGTGTTGTTGTGTCGTCTTGTGGGAGTCATTGTGTGTGCTTGCGTGGTGTGTGTTCAAAGTGTGCTTAGTGTGAGCTGGACTGCACTCTATGGGTGTGTATGTAGTGTATGGTAAGCTAGGAAGTAGATTAGGAGATAAAAGTTGGGTAAGTAGCAGAGTGAGTCGTATTTTAGGTATTCCATTTGTTCATTGTGTCCAACAAGGCTTTTCATAAGCTTCCTAAGTAGGTCCACTACGTATCCAATGGGTTAACTAGTATGGGTTCCTAAGCTGTTCCAGTGGACCACTACATGCATGCTCATCACAGCTACAGCTACACACACTCCTAATCACGATTTTAAAGACGGGAGTACGGGAGTAACCCCACGGCCCTTCCAACCGACCACACAGCCGACCTCCGTTCAGTTTACACGACGAGCGCAACCAGAGGCGCGACGAGCAGCAGCGATGTCAGCACCGTGGCACCTGCAACACAACACACGCCACAGGCATCGCGGCAAACATGGGGATCAGAAACACGGTAACTCGTCACGTCAGCAGCGACAAACGATTTCACGTCAGGCTTTGCTACAGGATACGTGGACCCTCCCGGACTGCTCTGCTCAAATACCTGTGGACGCGGCCTTAGGGGGCGGCGGGGGAACGACGGGAGGCGGTGGTGATGCGGGGACGGGTGCAGGCGCAGGCGCGGGGACAGGGGCCGGAGTGGGAGCGGGGCCGGGGGCGGGCACGGGGGCCGGGGACGGCGCTGATGCCGGTGTGGGTGCGGACGCTGGCGTGGGCGCGGATGCTGGCGCGGGGGAAGGGCTGGACGCCGGTGCGGGCGACGGGCCCGCTGGGGTTGGCGCAGGGGGGGCGCGCGGCTGAGCGCGAACGGGCGCTATTGAGAGGGCGACGAGCGCCAGCAGCACCGTCAGCATCGCTAACGACTTGGAGCGGCCCATCGCTGGAACTGAAAACGGAACGGAATAATAAGCGTTTCAAATCAGCGTCCCTGGCGAAAAGCGTGGCCAACGAGTAGCCTTCCTCGGACGTGAGGAACGTAGTAGGCGATGAAGCTTTAGACTACTCGAGGGGGACAGATACGATGAGTAAGTATGAAGAGGTAGAGTCTGGCTCATGCCTTCTTAAGTCCACGCCGACACGCAACGCGCGGATCGGAAACACGCTCCTTTCCAGCGCGTCCCTTCGCGGAACTGTTGGGTGGCTCCAGTGGGGCGGGCCACCCTGCCTTCCTGCTTTGTCCACCATTCGACTCGCTTCAGCCGCTCGCGCGGGGCGTCAAGACAGACGAACGGGGAGGTCATCGAGGGAGCGCTGTCGCGTGACGCGGAGAATTTGAGGTGCGCATGTGACGGTCCTACGTCAGCTGACAGGTACGCAGACATTGAAACTAGCGGTTCGATAGGGGCTGCAGAGCGGTTGAGATGTGCGTGAAAATGACATCGGAGCCATCGTTTACGAGCTGCTTCCTTATCAGCAATATATAAATAGGCAACCTTGATAACATAAAAGAAAATCCCCATGGTCATACGGCATTTGCCCAAAAAAGAGCATGAAAAACAATTAATATATATCAAAATATGCGCGGTTAATAAATTTGAGAGCTTTTCGATGATGTATACGTATCAGATTTTGCATGGAAGATTCAGCATTGTTAGAGAAAATAGCAGTAAAATAATGTAAACGCTAGAAGTGAATGCAACCGTACAAGAAAATACGAGATATGCGATTGCAGATGCTTGATTTAAGCTCATACAAATGGCGCAACATTCATATGTTGTCAGACTAAGAGCGTGACATGTTCAATGTTGGGCCCTTGCTCTCCGTCTGCTCTTACCGAATTCTGCCAATTTGAACCCTTGAATCAAAATTCAAACGGGTTCGGCCACGGAACTCCCCACACCTCGTTCTTCCATCTCGCCAGAGCCCCCTCATCAATTCACCCACCCCTCTCTCGAACATCCTCTTCTCTTTCGCGACCCAACCCTCATTCTCGACTTCACTCACCACTGGGCTCCATGGCTCTCTGGACTCATTTCACCAGCCTGCGCAACTTTCCAGGCTAAGTCCTTATCTTTCATCAATATTTGAACTCTGTCGTACAGTGGTGCGTGATCCTATTCGCGAGGATGCGGAAGAAGGCGGACCCGCAGAGGGCGGCAGATACTGACTGTACAGTTGTCGCGGCGCCGAAATGGCGGTACGTGCAGTGCAACATCAAGGGGATGCTGGCGAAACGGGAAGAACAGCGGGCCAACGGTTCGGCAGCGGCGACAAAGGCGAAGCAGACGGCGGGACGGACAGGCCGGGACAACATGGAGGACGGGATTTCGGGCGACAGTCGCAAGGCGTCGTCGAGCGACAAGAACCACATCACGCTGCGCAGTCGGCGCGTGCGCACATCTGGAAGTAGCGAAAGCAGTGGTCTTTTGGGCGGACGACTCTTAGCTGGCAACGAGCCGCCCGTATCCGCGATGTTCCCCGTGACAGCTGTCACTCAGAGCGCCGCCTCGGACGTCGAGCAGCCGCATGGCGCCTCGCCGTGCGACAAGCGGCGGCAGTCCGCGGAGGAGGGGCTGAGCGTGTACAAGCGGCGGCGCATGAGCTCCTTGCCGCCCGCCACACACCCGCTCGCTACCCTGCCCACCAATGCCGTTAGGGTTAGCTCCGCTGCTCCGACCGGGGGAGAGCAGAGCGCGGGAAGCACGGTGAGCACGGCTGGTGCGGAAGCAAAGGCGGAGTGGAGTAGCGGAGACAGGGAAGCCGGCAGTAGAGATGCGCCTTCTGCTGCTGCCTTGTGCGCGCAAGGATCTCAGGCGCAGGCGCAGGAACAGGCGGGACCACAAGCATGCGCAGAGGCGAGCGATGGGAGGCAGGCAAATGGGGAGTGGATGGGGGCCGTTGATCCCGCTGGTCCCGCGGTACTGGAGGTGGAGGTGGCGGGCGAAGTGGCGGTGGCGCTGCACCGCGTGCCCCCGCGCGCGCCGCCACCCGCGCGGCTGCTGCACCCGCCGGTGGCTTTTGAGAGCTCTGTTGAGCCAGCGACCCTTCGCCCTGCTGTGTGCGTGGTGGAAGCGGGAGGGGGTGCGGAGGTAGCGGCCGTGGCGGTGCTTGCGGCGAGCCCTGTGGCGGGGCAGGCAGGCAGCCCGCACGACTCGAGCCACGAGCACGCGGACGGGGACTCGCTGGGGTGCGGTTCTGACTGCGCCATCTGCTTCCGCGCGTCAGGGGAAGGGGATGCAGCGGCTGTGTTGCAGAGCTGTGAGGGGGACGCTGCTGGCACACGCGCTGGGGGGAAAGTGGGTGGAGACAAGGAGAGTGGGGACAAGGGGAGGGACGCCGATGGTGGGGACAAGGAGAGCCATGGCACGGACGGCAGCGCAAAGGAGGGGGGTGCGAAGGTCGCGGCTACCATGCCAGGACCGAATGGGGTCATTCCCCGGGGGCCAGGCTCCTGTGGGCAAGCCTCCACTGCCCTGCCCGCCTTGTCCCCCCTTGCTCCCATGTCCGACTCCCCTTCCCTTGCCCATACCGGTTCAGGCGCACCCAAACCCGCGGGCGAGGCGGGCAGCCCGTGCGAAGCGGGCAGCCCTTGGGAAATACCGGGGGCGGGCGGGCAGCAGAGAAGCGAGGGCAAGGCGGAAGGGGGCGAGAAGGGCGGGTTGGAGCGCGGCGTGGGAGGGGTGCAGGCGAGTCACAGGATGGTGGCTGAGAAGGCTGAGGACGCTTGTGGGGAGGTGATGGATACGTGCGAGCAGATGGGTGGGGAGAAAGGAGACGGTGGGGCCCGAGGAGGAGACTTCACAGCGGACGAGAAGGTTGTAGTGAGGGAAAGCGGTCTGAAAGACTTGGGTATGGACGAGGTTGAAATGAAAGTGCCTGTAGAGATCGAGGGTGCTGCGGTGGTGAAGGAAGAAGGAAGCGGTGATGCTGAGGGAGATACAGGCAAGGCGAGTGCTGGCAGCAGAGAGAAGAAGGTTGGCAGCAGAGAGAAGAAGGTTGGCAGCAGCGAGAAGAAGGTTGGCAGCAGCGGTGGTGTGAAGCGGGAAGATGAGGTGACAGTGAAGGCAGAGCGATCAGGGAACGAGGGTGGTGGTTTAGCAGAGGGGGAGGGCAGAGCAGTGGGAGGGGGTGGGAGTGAGGGAGGAGGGGAGGCGGCCATGCTGGTGGATGATCCCGACGAGGACGACCTCGCCTGCAGCAAGCGCCGCCTCTTCCCCGATGGCCCCCCTCTGCCTGCTCCGCCTGCTGCTGCCCCCCGCCCTCCTCTTCCTCCTCCGCCTGCTCCCACCGGGCCTGCAGTGGCAGCAGCGCGGGTGCAGGTGAAGTGCGAGGCGGGTGAGAGCGAGGGTGTGCCTGTGAAACGCGTGACTGTGACTCATGCCGCTGCTCCTGCTGCTGCCAAGGCTGCTGCCCATGCACGGCTGGACAAGAAGGGGGGGCAGCAGGTGCGGGAGGAGGCGGAAGGAGGTGCAGCAGCAGCAGCAGGGCAGAGTGACAAGAGCCGGCTGACGCCAAAGCGGCGGCGGCTGATAGAGAGCTACGTTGACCGGCTGATGGCCGACCTGCAGCGCCCTCAGTGGATGGAGTAATGCCCACCGCCTCTCACCACTCTGCACCTCCTTGTCCTCCGGTGTTTCAAGCTCTTTCTTTTCAGCTAAGAGCTTGCTGACCTGACTTGGCTTCACCCGACTTGACTTGACTTGAATGACTCCCGTCTGCCTGCTTCTGCTCTCTCTGACCCGTGCTGCAGGCTGCCATTGGCTGGAGTGGATCCAAGGGCTCTCATCGGCCGACTGTGCAAGGTATGACCGTTGGATGCCAGCCTTCCTGCCTGTTGCCTCGTCTCCCCCGGCCCTGCACTCCTGCCAGCAGCCACCTGTGTATCGCCACACCATGCTGCCCTGCCCGGTGTCGCCCCTGCATGTGTGTGTGTGTGTACAACAGGTGTACTGGCCGCTGGACGAGCGGTGGTACGCGGGGCTGGTGTATGCATATGACGCGCGCACGGGCAAGCACCAGGTGCGGTACGACGAGACGGAGAGCGAGTGGCTGCGCATGGCAGCTGAACGCATCAAGCTGCACCTCCCCCGCCACGACCCCCTCCTCGCTCTCTGCCCCACCCCCCCTCCCCCTCCCCCTGCTGCTGCTTCTGCTCCTCCCGCTGCTGCTGCTTCTGCTGCTGCTGCTTCCGCTCCTGCTGCGGCTGCCACGTGTGCCACGGCCCCCCTGGTGGAGGATTGTGGGAAGGAGGAGGGCAGCAGGGACGGCGGCGATCCAGGGTGTGAGAGAGAGGAGGAGCAGGGGAGGGAGGAGGAAGGGGAGGACGAACGAAGCGGGGACGAGGGGGAGGAGGATGAGGACGAGGAGGGGGGAGTGGAGTTGGTTGGGGAGGGAGGGAAGGCGGCAAAGGGTGGCAAGGGGAGGGGGTGGCGGGGCAGGCGGGGGTGGCAGGGGCGGGGGCAGGGCGGGCGCGAGCTGGCGGAGCTGGCAGCGAGCATGGCGCGGGACATGGACCCTGCTCGCGCTGCTGTGCTGGCTGCTGCTGCCATGCTCTCCTCCTCCACCCGCACTGCGCCCAGAGACCACAGGGCCGCGGACCAGGGGGCTGCGCCCAAGGCCAAGGCGGAGGGGCCAGAGGCGGGGGCGGGAGGGGGGGCTGTTCGGCGGGAGGGCACAGGGGCGGGCATGGCAGGGGGGACGGGGGGGCCGCTGGAGGAGCTGAAGCTGGGGCGGTTTGGCGCCAAGGAGCTGGTGTGGGCACGCGTCAAGGGTGAGCAGGGCTGGGGCGTGAACTCGTATGAGGGGTAGTGTGTGACTGTAGAGATAGGGAAGATAGATTGTGACTGTTGCGGGTAGGTGGGATTAGTGTGTGAGGGGCGGATAGGAGGGCTAGAATGCGACTTTAATGGTTGAATGTGACTGTAGCGGGTAGAAAGGGATGGAAAGGAGAAGATCTGAGGGAAGGAAAAGAGGGGGGCTTAATTGGTGCCAAGTGTGGAACCATAACTCGTGCTGTTCTGCTGCTGCTGCTGCTGCCCCCACGCATGCAGGGCACCCAGCATGGCCGGCCATGGTGTTGGATCCGGCAGTGGCGGAGCGAGTGGGGCTGCGGGCGGTGAGGGAGGGCGGGGCGGGGGAGGTGCTGGTGCACTTCTTCGGCTCCTACGAGTGCAGCATCGTTGCCGCCTCTGCCGCCTGCCCCTTCCTGCTCGGCCTCGCCAAGGGGCTGCACAACAAGAGCAAGGCCGCCTGCTTCAAAACAGCGCTCCATGAAGTCGAAAGGTCCGAGTCCCACCCCGCGCCTCTCGCCTCTCGCCTCTATCCTCCCGCCCCCTGGCCCTCCGCCAACCACCCTATTGTCCCCCGCGCTCCTCCCTGCACATTCAATTAACCTGAACTTTCTGCAACAGCTTGCAGCAGGTGCAGTTGCTCAAGCGAGCCTACTCTCATACCAGAGGCTGCTCTTGCCCCTCACTCCCGTCCCCTCCAACCTCCCTTCCCCGGCAGGTTCCTGCTGGTGGAGGAGCTGCCAGCGAAGATGGCGTTCCTGCACGGATCGGGGTCGGAGGAGGGCAGCGACGAGGGCAGTGAGGAGTCGGGGAGTGATGGGAGCAGCGCGGAGGGCAGCGAGGGGGCGAGCGAGGAGGGCAGTGAGCGGCAGAGTGGAAGTGGGGAGGGCAGCCAGAGCAGTGGCGAGGAGGGGAATGGGGCAGCAGAGGCGGATGAGCGCAAGGGGTTGAGGGCGGCAGGCAGCGCGGGCAAGAGTGGGGCTGAGGTGGGGGGACGGGCAGCAGTGGTGGGAGGCAAGGTGGTTGATGGGCGTGGCGTGGGGCAGGCAGGAGCAAGTTCAGGGGGGTGTGGAGAGGCAGATGGGGAGGGGGACGGGAAGGTAGGGGAGGCGAGGAGGAGCGGGGGGCAGGCAGTGGGGTCGGATGCGGTGATGGGGGGTGACTCCGCCACCACGGCCACGTCCCCGCCGTCCCTGCCCCTGCACATCGGCTCCCTCACCCTGCTCTCCCTCGGTGCGCCCCCCTCCTCCCTCACCCTGCTCTCCCTTGGTGCGCCCCCCTCCTCGCCCCTTTTTCTCATTCGCTTCCTCCGAGCACCTTCACCCCACTCCTCCCATGCATGTGCCCCAACCCAACCCAACCCTTGCGAAGCCACCTTTGCAGGTAGTGCGTGCCATTGCTGCCCGCATCCCGCGTGCCATGCACCCAGCCACCCATACCCTTGTCCATCCACAGTCCCCTTGGCCCTCATGCTGCCCTGTCCCCCAACCGCCAAGCCTCCCACACCTCCCCCTTCCCCCCGTGCCCACAGGGCGAGTGCTGCCGGGCGAGCCTGGCTTCCACACGGCGCAGCACATCTACCCTGTCGGCTACAAGGCTGTCCGCCCCTTCCCCTCCGCCCAAGGTGTGTTCCGCCCCTTCCCCTCCGCCCACACTTTTGTCTGCAGCATGCCATTCTTCCGCTCCTCTTCCCCTTCCTCTGTCTTCCACACTGTCAAACCTCCTCTCTTCCCCTTCCCCTTCCCCCTCTCTTCCCCTCTAACACCCTGAATTCCCCTCAGACCCGCGTGTGGTGGTGAATCACGTGATGGAGATCCTTCAGCAGGCGCCCCCTCCTCCTCCTCCCCCTCCTCCTCCGCCCCCCACTGCTGCTGCACCAGCGCCAGCAGCAGCGCCATTTGTGCCCTCGGGGGAAGGGGCATGGCGGCGCCCCCAGCTGCGCCAGACACCACAGCGCATGCAGCAGCAGCAGCCCAAGGGGGGCAAGAAGCCACAGCAGAAGAAGCAGCCGCCTGGCGCCTCCGGGACTGCTGGAAACACCCCAGTGCCTGGTGGTCCAATCTTCCGAGTCACCCCAGAAGGCTCTGATCCGGTATGTGCCTCTGCATTCACCTCCCTCTCTTTGTCTTGTCTACCTTGCCTCCCCCGCCCCTCCCCTCAAGCCCTCCATCCTGCCCCCTTAAGCCGCTGGCTGGTGTGCCTGCGCCCTCCCCTCCCTTCCCCACCCGTCTCCCCCCCTCGGGCAGGTGGAGGGCCCATCACCGGGCGAGTGCTGGCGCATCATCCAGAGGCGCGTGGCGGAGGCCAAGCGCCTGCTGCTGCAGCACCTGCACCCGCCCAGCACTGGCGCAGGGGGAGGGGCAGGCGGAGGGGCAGGGGCAGTTACGGGGGCAGGGACAGGGGGTGGAGGCACGGGGGGAGGGGAAGGGAGGGCGCAGAGGGGCGGGGGGCCGATGATGGTGCCGCTGGCGGTGCTGCTGCAGCGAGGCGAGGGCAGCGGTGGTGCGGTGCTGCGTGCTGGAGCAGATGCAGAGGGGACCGGTGGTGGCAGGACAGGCGCGGAGGCAGAGGCGGGTGATGGTAGCCGGGCAGGGGCGGCAGAGGCAGGGGGGGGTGATGGGGGCAAAGCAGGTGCAAGGGCGGAGGAGCAAGAGAGAATAGCAGCGGTAACGAGCGGTGGCCGTGGGGCGGAGGATGGGCAGGCACAGATTGAAGGCACACAGCGGACAGAGAGGGATGGTGGGGGCGGGGGCAGAGAGGGCGCTGTGGGGCAGGGAGGGGCAGAGGCGGAAGCAATGGAGGTGGATGGGGGCGGAGGGGACGAGAGGGGGGACACAGCAGCAGGCGTCCAAGGGGCTTCGTCCCAGGGGGGGCTGCCTGCAGGGGACCCTCTCAGGTGGGCCTTCCCCCCCGCCTCTGCAGCGCGCCCCCTCGCCGCCTCCCCCTCATCCGCGCCCCCGCTCACCCCCTCCCCCCTGCGGCCGCCGTGGCAGGCGCTGCCAGCACAGGGCACAGGGGGCGGGGCAGCGCATGGCAGTGGCAGCCCGCGGTGTGGGGGTGAGTGTGGTGGGGTGAGTGGGGGGTGGGGCGGCAGCGGTGGCAGCTGTGGCAGCGGGGGCAGCAGGGGCAGCGGGCGGTGTGGGGCATGGCTGCCGTCGCACCACGTGCGGTCGGGGGCACAGATGTTCGGCCTCACTCACCCACGAGTGGCGCAGCTCATTCAGGGTCTGCCCAACGCCACCCGCTGCCAGCAGTTCACCGCGTGGGTCAACGCCCCTCGCCCTGCGCCTGCTTCCAACACTGCGGACGCCAGCAGGGGCGAGAGGGCGCGACAGGCCAGTGCGCCGGCAAAGCAGCAGGGGGAGGCAGCGCAGGGGGCGCGGGCGGGGGCCGTGGTGGTGAAGGAGTCGCGGCTGCCGGCGGGGTTCAAAGCGGTGGAGTACCGGCAGGCGTCCCTCGACCGCTGCGACGTGTGCTGCCTCTCCGAGGTCAGTGGGTGCACGGGGGGGGTTGCTTCTCCGTGGTGGGAGGATGGGAGAGGGCATCACTCCCTTGTGCATGCGTGTGGGCTTATGCACATGCACGTCTGCATGCTCATGCTCATGCACGTGCACATGCTCATGCTCATGCCCATGCCCATGCTCATGCACATGCCATGCTCATGCACATGCACATGCTCATGCTCATGCCCATGCCCATGCTCATGCACATGCCCATGCTCATGCACATGCACATGCTCATGCTCATGCCCATGCCCATGCTCATGCACATGCCCATGCTCATGCACATGCCCATGCCCATGCTCATGCCCATGCTCATGCTCATGCCCATGCTCATGCTCATGCCCATGCTCATGCTCATACCACCCCCTGTGCATGAGTGCAGGAGTACGAGGACGACCAGCTGCTGCAGTGCGACAGCTGTCGCATCATGGTCCACATGGCGTGCTACGGCGTCAGAGAGCCGCCAGATGGCGGGTTGTGGCTGTGCGACGTGTGCAGCAAGTACGAGCGGCAGGGCAAGTGCGATGCCAAGCCCCTCTGCTGCCTCTGCCCCGTGCAAGGTCAGTGCCCCGTGCAAGGTCAGTGCCCCATGCAAGGTCAGCGCCCACTCCGTGTCCTGGCCCTCCCATCTTCTCCACCCTCGCGTGTTCGCTGTCCACCAGATTATCCCGTCCTGTCCGTGACCTTTGTCTCCATGCCCATCCCCATCCCCATGCCCATCCCCATTCCCATGCCCATCCCCATGCCCATCCCCATGCCCATCCCCATCCCCATGCCCATCCCCATGCCCATGCCCATGCCCATCCCCATCCCCATGCCCATCCCCATTCCCATGCCCATCCCCATCCCCATGCCCATCCCCATCTCCATGCCCATCCCCATCTCCATGCCCATCCCCATCTCCATGCCCATCCCCATCTCCATGCCCATCCCCATCTCCATGCCCATCCCCATCTCCATGCCCATGCCCATGCCCATGCCAATCCCCATCCCCATCCCCATGCCCATCCCCATGCCCATGCCAATCCCCATCCCCATGCCCATCCCCATGGCCATGCCCATCCCCATGCCCATCCTCATGCCCATCTCCATGCCCATGCCCATCCACATTCCCGTCCTCATGCCCATCCTCATGCCCACCCCCATCCCCGTGCACTTGACCAGGGGGAGCCATGAAGCGGACGGTGCATGGGCTGTGGGCGCACCTGGCATGCTCTCTCTGGATCCCAGGTGGGTTAGTCAAACGGGTTCTGGAAGCGAGTGGAATGCAGCATTAGGAGATTGTGTCAGAAGAACCAGTGGAGTAGGCACGTTTGTTGCTTCGCCCCTCATGCCCACTTCATGTAATCGCTGCTGTCCCCCCTCCCTTGCCCTGCTGTCCGCCCACCCTCACCCTCGTCCATCCACCCTGACCCCTCCCCCACCCGTGGCGGCACACAGAGACGTCGTTTGTGAACATCAAGCGCATGGAGCCCGTCACTGGCTTTGATGACATCCCCAAGGTGCGCTCGCCATGCACCACTCACCACTCACCACGCACGACTCACCTTTCACCATTCAAACCACTGCCCCTCTCAATGCACGTCTCCATATTGATATTAATCACGCTCGCTCCCAAGTCATCCCAACGTTTTCCATGCTTATTACCAACATCGTTCTCCCCTCCACGCCGCCTCCCCTCCCCCTCTTCGCCCTTCCTCTCCCTGCAGGCGCGGTGGCAGCTGCGGTGTTGTGTGTGCCGCATCCCCCACGGGGCGTGCATACAGTGCGCGGCAGGGCAGTGCTACACCGCCTTCCACCCGCTCTGCGCCAAACTCAAGGGCTACCCCATGCTGGTGAGAGCACGACTCAAGGGCTACCCCATGCTGGTGAGAGCACGACTCAAGGGCTACCCCATGCTGGTGAGAGCACGACTCAAGGGGTACCCCATGCTGGTGAGAGCACGACTCAAGGGCTACCCCATGCTGGTGAGAGCACGACTCAAGGGCTACCCCATGCTGGTGAGAGCACGACTCAAGGGCTACCCCATGCTGGTGAGAGCACGACTCAAGGGCTACCCCATGCTGGTGAGAGCACGACTCAAGGGCTACCCCATGCTGGTGAGAGCACGACTCAAGGGCTACCCCATGCTGGTGAGAGCACGACTCAAGGGCTACCCCATGCTGGTGAGAGCACGACTCAAGGGCTACCCCATGCTGGTGAGAGCACGACTCAAGGGCTACCCCATGCTGGTGAGAGCACGACTCAAGGGCTACCCCATGCTGGTGAGAGCACGACTCAAGGGCTACCCCATGCTGGTGAGAGCACGACTCAAGGGCTACCCCATGCTGGTGAGAGCACGACTCAAGGGCTACCCCATGCTGGTGAGAGCACGACTCAAGGGCTACCCCATGCTGGTGAGAGCACGACTCAAGGGCTACCCCATGCTGGTGAGAGCACGACTCAAGGGCTACCCCATGCTGGTGAGAGCACGACTCAAGGGCTACCCCATGCTGGTGAGAGCACGACTCAAGGGCTACCCCATGCTGGTGAGAGCACGACTCAAGGGCTACCCCATGCTGGTGAGAGCACGACTCAAGGGCTACCCCATGCTGGTGAGAGCACCCCTAACACATCATTCATCCAGCAACCCATAAATTCCTCTCTCCTAACCCCTCCCTTGTACACGATGCACATGAGAGAGCGAGGCCAGCATGGACAGCAACTCACCTGTCCCCTTCCTCCTCTCCCCCGTCCGCCCCGCCTGTGGGCAGACGTTGGACATGAGTGAGGAGAGCATGGAGCGCAGCCGGCTGCACGGCACGGTGGTGGGGTCCGTGGCCATGATCTGCTTCTGCCCGCGCCACCGCGCGCGCGCCAAAGCCCTCCACGCCACGCCCTCCCTCCCCCCCCACCCCTCCGCGCCCTCCCCCTCCCCCGAACCCACCGCCGCTGCTGTTCCCCCTCGCCCGCCCTCCCCCACCTCTGCCCCAGCCACATCCGCTGCTGCTGCTGCCTCCCTCGGCCCCTCCGATCCACTGCCCAAAGTCCTCCCCATGTCGCAGCTGCTCTGCCACCCCTCGCCCTCGCAGCTCCCTTCCCCCTCCGCCGCCCCTGCTGCTCTGGGCAGTGAGCAGGCTGAGAGGGGGAGAGAGGGGATGGGAGGGAGCGAGGGCGACAGAGAAGAGGGCGGTGGGGGTAGGGAGGGTGCGAGAGAGACTAGGAGCGGTGGAGGTGTGAGGGCGGGGAGAGAGGGAAAAGGAGGGGAGAATGAGGGTGGCAGTGGGAGTGGCAGCGAGAGTGGGTGGAGTGAGAGCAGTGGAACAGGAGGGGGTAGCAGTGAGGGCGGGTGTGAGATGGACAGCAGCCGGCGGGATGTGCCACCAGGTGGCCGGGCGGGCGGAGAGAGAGTGCTGTGCGCTCGAACAGGTGAGATAGATTGCAAAGACCACAACTTGTTTTCGCCATTTTCCCCTTTGTACCTGTATATGCGTCCGCTCTCTCCCCCTCCTCCCTACCCCCCACCCCCCGCCCCTTCAATTGGCATCACCTCTCCCTCTCTCCTGCCCCTCCTCCCCACCCACCGCCACCCCTCAGAGCCCTTTGACGCGCGCATACGGAGGGGGCGCAGGGAGCCGGATGCGGTGGCGGCGTTCCTGACGAAGCGGTCGTTTCTGGAGAACGTGCCCTTCGCCATCTGTGGCCGGCGCCAGGAGCAGCGCCGCGTGCACGGCCCCTCCGTGGTGGAGGCGGTGCGAGCGCACATGCAGCACGCCGCCTCCCACCCCGCCCAGGAGCTCGGCTCCAAGGACGGGCACGTGGGCACAGTGGGGGAGGGGCGCGGCAGGGCAGGGCAGCACGAGGTGTGCCGTGACGCGGAGGGTGTGAGGGACGTGGGGCCGGGGGGGGGCGTGCATGTGAGTAGGCTGCGGCGGTTGCTGCACTCGGGGCTGGTGGGTGGCGCGGAGGGGCAGGAGGGGCAGGCGGGCAGTGGGGAGGGCGAGGTGCGGTCGATGTCGGACCGCTTCCGCCGCATGAAGTCCACCCAGCAGCAGCGCCTCGCCTTCGGTGTGTTGGGGGCAGGGATGGTAATTTGGTGCATGTGTGCGCGGGCAGGTAGTGGGTGGGCGGGCAGTGATGATGGTAGGGATGGGGATGCCGTGCCGTGCCGTGCCGTGCTGGTGATTTGGTGCGTGTGTGTGCCGGTCGTGCCAGCACACGCTCGTCCGCCAGTGTGGTGTCGTTGGGTTGGGCCTATGCGCTTCTTCCCTTGTGTGTGCATGTGGGCGTGCAGGCAAGTCAGCCATCCACGGGTGGGGTGTGTTCGCCAAGACGCCTCATCGGGCCGGGGACATGGTGAGTGCCCACTGCCACCACCACCCTGCACGTGCAATTGCTCGTCTCTGGGAAAATCTCGCGTCTCATGGCATGTGTTGCATGCTCCATGAATTTCAGCATGTGATATCACTTCCTGCCTTGCCCTGCTCCACTCGTGTTCACCTGAATGTCTTCCTTCTTTCTCGTCTTTGACAAAACATGTCTCCGTATCTCATGCTGTCTACCCATGCTGTGCTGTCCCATCAGATCATAGAGTACGGGGGCGAGGTGGTGCGGCCAGTGGTGGCAGACTTGAGGGAGAGGCGCTGCTATGACTCACTCGTGGTACGCATGCTGCTGCCTGCACTGCTGCACCCCGTAACTGCACCATTTCACTTCCGCGCTCACTCTTTTCCCCTCGCATTGGGTCATTTCTCCATGTCTCCGTTACTCATCGCTTCTCTGACTGGTGGATGTATGGGCGTGGTGGTTGATGCATGATGCATGGTGCATTGCTTTCACACACTGTGTGTGATGCATGTGTGGCACATATGTGTGCGGTGCATGCATGGCGAACGGCTGTTGGGTGTGGCACAGGGAGCGGGCACGTACATGTTTCGGATCGACAGCAACCGAGTGGTGGACGCCACCAAGGCGGGCACCATAGCACACCTCATCAACCACTCCTGCAACGTTAGTGCCACTCCATCCATGCTCTCTGCTCTTTTCTGCATGCCGTGTGCTGGCTGTGCTGCAGCCCCTCTCTCGCCTTGTTTCTCTCCTGTCATCCATGTCGCTCACTTGAAAACGGACCGGCTTCCCAGCTGCCCATGCCTGCATGTGTCCCGCACAACACCCCTCATTCCCGTCTCAAGTATCCTGCCATTCCATCCCCCCCCTCTCCTTCCCTGCGCCCCATGCAGCCCAACTGCTACTCGCGGGTGGTGCAGGCGAGTGCGGAGGAGCGCATTGTCATCTTCGCCCGGCGGGACATCATGGCTGGCGAGGAGCTCACCTACGACTACAGGCACGGCCCTGAGCCCTCCCCTCCCCTCCCCCCCCCCCCCCCCCTCCCCCCCACTTGCCGCACGCCCACTCTCAATCGCCTTGTTGATCCATCTACTGCCCTCTCACCCTTCCCCCATGCCCCGTCAACCATGCCACCATGCCTCCTGAGCCACGCCCCTATGCCTCCCAACCGTGATCCATCCACTCTCCTCCCTCTCAGGTTTGACTCGCAGGACGAGCAGCTGGCGTGCAACTGTGGCAGCAGCGGGTGCCGTGGCGTGGTCAACATTCTGAGGGGCCACGACGACCACGCCGATGGAGACGTGGCCATGTGGGCCCCTCGCAGCGAGCTGCTGCCCTGGCAGCCGCCCACCGCCCCCCTGTGATGCCCTGCATGGGGCGTGCGTTCATGAATGCACATGGCAGCACATGGCAGCACACGGCAACACATGGTCTTGATTATGCTTGTCCCAATAATGCCATTTGGCTTGCCTTTAGGCCATGGCCCGTGATTCCCGTCTCTCAAAGTTATCGTCAGAATACCATACTAACCAGGCCCTACGTTATCAGGAATTTTTCCCTGAAATTCCTGATTTTCAGGGATTTTTTTTGTACCTATCCTGATTTTCCAGTGTTCAGTTTTCCTAGGGGCTGATCTTTCAGCCTTTAGGTGCCAGATGACTCTGATCTTTCAGGGTTTTTTTCGAAAGGACACTGATCACTTTACGTTGTAACGAATCTGACCCTGAATGCGGTTCCTACACGTGCCGAGTGTAGGTGCCCAGAAGTACAGGGAATATCAGATTCCCGCGGTGTCTGGAAAAAAATTCGTCTGGTACTCACCGCCAGCACCACCTGGCGGTGAGAACGAGACAAAATTTCCCCGAGTTTCACAACTGGTGGGCTGTTGAATTTGGCGCGCGTGGAACGAACGTTGCCCAGTTTCGCATCATTGCGTGGGTTGACCAATCACAGGGTTGCAGCATAGCAATGCTGGCAGTGTGCGGTGCGAGGGTGTCTTGCACCTGAAGTGTATCAGCGTTTAGAAAATGGGGACACTGATGCATCAGAGATTTTTAAAAAGGAACACTGAACTTTCAGGGATTTTTTTTTAGAGACACTGATTATCAGGGATTCTACACAAGGGGACCCTGATGCCTTTACGTGCCTAAAAGTGAATCATAGGCCCTGATACTAACCCAAGCAATTCTTATGTATACCGTAAATACTTGCTTCCAGTTGATGTACTTATTTGACATGGTTTGCTTTGCATGCAACAAACAATGATGGATCTCTTTTGAATTGCTCCCATTGAGTGGCACAAATTTGGAAACACAACATAACCATGTGCTTATTCACCAGGGCCTAGGATTCGTTTGGGGGTACACTGAGGCCTCAGGGCAGTTTTTAGGAAATCAGAATTTGCCCTGAATTGTCAGGGCTGCACAGGGTGAGGTATCCTGAAATGCCAGTGCTACATTTAGCAGTATGCTGAAAATTTAGTGCTACATTCAGTGATTGGTGCAGTGTTGTAGCGGGTAAACTGATAATGCGATACGTAAGAGGTCTCTTGCTCGATTCCTACTGGCTCCTATGATTGAGGTGCTCGCCCGTACATATTTTAGGCCCCAAAACCCAGGAGATTTTTCGTACAGTACATCTCGCCTCAGAGCGAGATTCGACACTATCCTGACTCATCAGGGCTGAACCTACAGCCTTATCCTGAGTTTTCAGTACGCAAAATAACCGTTATACTGAAATTACAGGACAATTATTCCTGTTATGCTGTTTTTCCAGGACTAGCACACGACACCTATCCTGAATTCAGGAGAATCAGGATAAATTATCCTGATAACTGAGGCCCTATTATTCACTGTTGGAATCATGGACAGGCAGGCAGCATCTTGTGCCCACAGTACCGTACAGTTGGACAAAAGAAAGGTCAAACCTAAAGCAACACACTCTGGGAGCAATTGACGAACAAGCCCCCATTGGGGCAGTGCGTTGGCCTGCTCTGCACTCCCACCAACGTGCTTACCGTAGCTGCTCGGGTGGATGGTGGCTTGGCTATGGCACCAAGGAAGCCAGCAAGCAAGGCTAAACTGCTGCATACATATGATGTCCATCAGAGGAGAATACCATAATAATAATTAATAAATACAAATGATATATGTTTGCGTATTCTTGTGTGCCGTGCTCTACTCAATCTCCAGCACCGAGTCCTCTATGAGCGAGGCACTGAGAGTGGAGGCGGCAGCGAGGTTGTTGGTGGAGCCGATGGAGCGCGCCAACAGGGAGCGTGCAGCGGTGCCACCGTGCACGCTGCTCACCACGTTGAAGTCGCTCACCACCGCCCCCGCTGCGTCCACACTCACCCCGCCCTTCAGTGACACGTCCTGCTCCCATGCACAGGCAGAGGGGCGGAGGGGAGGGGCGGAGGAGGGCAGAGGGGCGGAAGGGAATGCTGAAACTGGGATGAGATGCAGCGGCAGAGAGGGGGCGAGGTGGAAGAGGGAATGAGTTCATGGGGAGAGCGGGGAGGGAATGGGCGGCTGACCTTGGTCCATTGTGGCTGGTTGCGGGCAGCCTCCTTGCGGATGGCATCATGGTCGAAGAAGAAGACAACCACGGTGATGTCATCATGGTACGACCGCCGCTGCCCCGATGCCATGCGCAGCAGCTCGCCGTACGGCACCTCTGTGCGCTCCGCCGCGCGCCGCAGGGCAGCACGGATGAGCTGGCGGGCGATGTCTTTGCGCGGGGAGACAGCCACCATGTCCACCACCTCCTGGTTGCTGAGCAGCTCAAACAGCCCGTCCGACGCCACCACCACAAACGCATCGTGTGGCGCCAGCAGGCGCACCGCCACGTGCGGGTCCGTGGAGAGCAGCGGCGGGTTGAAGGGCTCGGCGACGCGGAAGCGCGAGAAGAGCGGCTCGCGGTTGAAGTCGTGCGACTTGAGGTAGAGGTCCCCGAAGGCGCGCGTGACGGTGATCTTGCCCTTGACGCGGTAGCGCCCGCGCTTCTCCGTGACGGCGTCGGGCATGTCGGCGTGCTCCTCGCGGTACCGGTCGCGGATGGCCTGGAAGCTCAGGTTGTGGTCCTCCGACATCTGCAGCGCTCGACACTCCAGCCCGTCCCCCGTGTGCCGCACCTGGACGGACAGAGGTGCAGGAGGGAATGGCGAGGGAGAAAGGAGGGTGAGTGAAGGGTAGAAAGGTTTAGGTAACGCACTTACCGGTCATGCATTCCTCAGCATGCAACGGCAGTCTCACCTGCCCCAGCACAGCCCGGCAGTCGCCCACATTGGCGACCCAGAGGGCGCTGCGAGTGACGATGGCGACGGCGGAGCACGCCCCCACGGTGGCCAGGTGCGGCGAGTCCAGGAAGCTGTCCCTCACGCGCGCCGTGAACTGCCTCTCCGTCTCCGCAAACCCCCGCCGCAGCGCCTCCACCGACACCGCCCCTCCCCCGCGTAGAAACTCCTCTGGTGGGGGGAAGAGGGGGCGCAAGAGGAGGAGAGGAATGAGTGGTGGGAATGCAGGCTGCAGATGGGCCGGTAAGAGTGGAGGTGTGATGTGAGCATGGCAGTGGGGCGGCTTTGCATTTGCACGCACTCTTGAGGTTGTTGTAGAGCGTGTGGCGCAGGAACTCAGCGGTCTCACTGCCGCCATGGCCATCATGCACGCCGATGTACACGCCGCCCGACCCCGCCTCCACCTCAACGGCGTCCTCCATGACGTAGTTGGCCTCGTACATGGCCAGCGACAGCTGCCCCAGCCCCGTGCTGTCCAGCGCCCGGTGCCACACGTCCCGCCGCTTGCGCACACTCATGCCCTCCCCGTCCCCCGAGCTGCGGCCGTCACGCGAGCAGAGGCGTGCGGAGGCGCGTAGCCAGCGCGAGGGGCTGAAGAAGCCGCGCGGCACGGCGGAGAGGGTGGAGAGGCCGAGCTGCTGCCAGCGCCGGGAGGCAAAGCGGCGTGCGTGGCCGTGCTGGTTGCCCTCCACGTCGTCGGCCTCGTCCCCCCCGTGGAACACCACGTCCAACCCCACCTGCCATGGGGGGGGGTGAGGGTGGCACGAGGGGCGCAGGGGGAGAGAGCGGGAAAATGAGGGGGGGCGAGAAGCATGTGTGGTGGTAATGCAATAATCAACAGAGAAAAAGCATACGTGTAAGTAGCTTCCCTGCTCTCGACCTCCCACACCTTGCCTTCCCATGACTCTCACTCAACCCCATCACCCCCTGCTGCCCCCCTGCCTTGTGTCACGCCCTGGCCACACCTGGTGGCATGCCCCTCTTTTTGACGCGCCCTGGGCTCACCTCCTCCTGGTGGCGCTTGACGCGCAGCACATCAAAGAAGTGCAGCCCGTAGAAGAGGAAGAGCGCCGTGGCGCCCACCCACGCGTACACTATCAGCAGCCCCAGGATCTGCCGTGCCATGGGACCCGGGGGGGTGAGAGAGAGAGAGAAAGCAAGCAAGGTGAGGGGGAAGGGAGGGGGGGTGAGATGAAGGTAAACTACGATGCAGGGAGAGCACGCTAGTGGCTGGCAGGCGCCAGAGTGCACAGAAGAATGGGCGCACATGCACTGGTAGACACACGTGCACTGGTAGACACAGGGCACATGGCACCTGCACGAGGAGCTGCCAGGCGGAGCAGCCGTAGAAGACGCCACAGGAGAGGGGCTGGGCGATGTTGTAGGTGCGGCTGATGTTGGCCGGACTCGCAAAGAACCCCACCGCCACCCCGCCCCACGACCCGCACACCAGATGCACCGGCGTCGCCTGAGGACGCACAGAAGGGGTTGGGGTGGGTGGGTGGGGAGCTGGGGGGGTGAGGGTGAGAGGCGGTGGGAATGACAGTGACAGAAGCGAGCATAGGTGGGTGGAGTTATGCAGATATGTGCACAGCTGATTAGAGTTCTGCACGGGTCACACCTGCACGGGTCACACCTGCACGGGTCACACCTGCACGGGTCATACCTGCACGGGGTCATACCTGCAGGGGTCATACCTGCACGGGGTCATACCTGCACGGGGTCATCAAGTTGGCATCGCAGCATGACCCACGTGCCCAGCAGGTACAGTGCCCCCGCTCCCATGCCTGCTCACATGCACAGGCAGAGTAATGGCGAGACGAGAATGAAGGGACGAGGGTGGCAGAGGAGGGGGGCCATGTGGCAGGAGCGAGACCTGAATCAACTGCAGCGGAGATGGAAGATGCAGAGAGGCAAAGAGAGCAGGAAGTGAGAGGCACACCGATGACGCAGGCGGCCCAGGGCTCAACGAGGGAGCTGGTGGCGCAGGCAGCCACGAGGCCCCCGATGACCCCGTTGAACGTGTCCTCGGGCACGGGCTCTCGGCGCCGGTACGTGAGCGTCCACACG